TTTTCATTTTAAATTAGAAGAAAAAAATTTTAAGCACAGGTTACATTACACTCAATATAGCATAGTGTTAATAATAAAATTTATCTTATACAGTATATTATAGGTACATTTTTCAGCTTTTCAACTCTTTCCTTGCTTCAGCTAGTTCAGTCTCTTTATCTGCTAGACGTGCTGTCAATTCCATCACGTTCACTTCTAATTCTGCTACTTTGGAGTGAGCATTTTCACGATCCTTTCTCTCAGAATCAAAATCTTGCTTATAAATATCAATCTAAAATAAAAAAGAGACTTATAAATGATGCAATTGCACAGTATATGTAACTATAATTTAGTTCTTAACAATACATAACAGTGCACAATTAGTACCTCTGCATTTTTAGCTCCCAGCTGCTCTTCTAATTGAGCTATGGTGCTCTTTTGAGCATTGAGTTGCCTGAGTTGTTGAGACACAGTCTGTGCCCTTTCATCTTGAACTTTCTTGAGCTCAGCTTCAAATCCAGTCCTTTGCTCTTCCATTGAGTACAACAAACGTCTTGTCTCAGCTTCTTTTTGTTCGAGTTCATTCTTCATTTTATCATTATCCTACATGAGTATTACCATCAAATCAGAACAACACAAAACACAGCATTACAGTGGATGAATATTAAATCCAAGTACATGCATATATTATATGCATTTGTAACTTAGTAGCTAATTTAAGCTAAAGTCTTACATCTTGAACCATCTTGAGCTCAGCCTCCTTCACTTCTAATCCAGTCCTTTGCTCTTCTTCTGAGTGCTTCAAGCGTCTTGTCTCAGCTTTTTTTGTTCCAGCTCATTCTTCATTTCTTCATTATCCTACATGAGAGTCACCATCAAGTCAGATCAGCACAAAACACAGCATTATATTAAATCCAAGTACATGTATATACTGTATATACATTTGTAGCTTAGCTGAAGTCTTACAATTCTCTTTGCTGTTGGTCTTTCATAAGGTTTTTGGTTTCTATATTGGCTCCATGTCGTGCGACGTTCTGCCATTTTAAAAGCTTAAATTATAAGCTCATCCCTTGAAGCCCAACTTATGCAAACAACACA